TTAAAGAAATCAATTCCATTTAATACCTGATTTTTTTGTTATTTCGTAAGTCTTTGTAAGGAATAGACAGCATCAAACTTGAATCCCTTTTCATTCCGTTTTCGTAAAGCGTGCAATGTGAAATAGTATATATTTGAATGAATTAAATACGTTTTATTAATAATTTATTTATTGATAAAAATTTGAGTTATTTTTTTTATTTATAATCTACATTATTCCCTTAAAAAAAGTGAAGGCGACTATTTTATATTCAACGCATAACCTAAAAAAATTTGAGACAATATATGTTCAATTTTTGATGCCTAACGTTTAAATTTATTAAACTTTTTACCAACATTATATTTACTGTAAATTATTTATTATTTTCACATTGAACAGAAAAACACAGCAAATTTATTCACTATTACTTCTAAATAAAATCATGAGCAAATTATTTTGATGCACAAAAATATGTACAATTGTCATTATAATAGAAAGCACACTTACCGATTTTTACGTAATGCAAAACGAATTTTAGAATTAAGTGGAATTCATTTCGTTGTCTATCTATCTTATTTCGATGACTTTGAAAAAGTGGAAAAATCAGGTATTAAATGGAATTAAACTTTTTTAATTTTGTATACGATTATAAGATAACTTTAATTTTTTTCTATTCAAGACTTCTTGCCGGGATGTCAAAGAATTCAAAAAATCACAAAATTTATTTAGACATAAAATAATACATTTTTTTGACCAATATTTCAGTTTAACAAATATAAGATTTGCTTTTGATAAAAAAATTACTGGAATTATTTAAGGAAAGAAGAAAAAAGCACTGCCACCTACCTTCTAAAAAGCGCGGCTCTGTTGATTTTATCGACAATTGTTAATAATAAACTGTAATAGATTGAAATTCATAAAAACATTAAATTTTTATAATTATTTAACAATAATCATCATGAAACATAAATATTATTGTTTTAATCATTTAACTATATATATTTAATCATTTTTTATATATTTAAGACAAAATTTCAATCTCAACCTCGTGTTCCACGAATGCTCCGCCAATTTCGTGGAGCATTCGCATCATACAATCTGCCAGGGCAGTCACTATTTAATTATCGAATTGCACATTGTCTTTGATTTTCTGTTATTTTCATTTTCAAATTAAATAGTGAAATAGTCTCCGCAATTACACTATTACGAAAATAACTGAATATAAATCGTTTATTTTTCAGTCGATTCATTTCGGCCATGATTAATACAAGTTGATTAATTTTTTTGCATCAAAAAATGAGACCGCTTCGTGTATCTTTTTTCTAAATTTTAAGGAACGACGTGAATTAATTTGAAAATAAATACGATATTCGTGTTCAGCAGGAAGTTCCACTAAATTTTAATTTAGTTATGTTAAAAAACTGAGAGTTTATGTTAAGTTATATGAAAAAAATGTGTTGAAATTTACAACAGAAATTTCCGCAAGAGTTTCCAGTGGTCAATTTCCGGAAACTTTTTCACGCAGGATTTTCACTTTTTTCACTCCCATATAATTTTTTTGTGATGTTATGCTTATATAACACAAGAAAAATGTGCTGTTTTAATATCAGAAAAATAATGTTAGAATAATAACCTTTAAATTCCTTTTCATGAATAAGTTTTCGGTTTTTTCTGTTACTTTATTTTTCTAATTTCTAAGGGAAATATATAGATATATGTATAAACTGAATATAATTATATAATTAATTAATATTGATATATAAATATTAACTATCCATAAAACCAATAAGTTTACAATATTTCTTGATTCCACGTTTAGAATAAAAAGGTTTTAAAATACATAACTTTCCACGTCGAACCCTTTTCTCTCCTGCTTAAATTGGCAAAATTTAATTCAAATCACGTAGGCCTGGTTGCTAAAATCGCATAACGTGTCCCGTTTGTGAAAGCACCTCTACGTGATCGTGGAACCTTTTGGATGTCACCAATGAAGATGCCTCCGGTATATTGCAATTCTCAATCTGTTCCCCCTCGTAAATTCACTACTCTTCCAAAAAATGACAATAAATATTTCAATATTTATTCAAAATATAATCGTGGTTCTCAGACATGTTTGCCATAAAAGTGACTTTTCAATTTGTAATTTCTTCTTTCCAGTTTGGAAAAAACCTGAATTCAAAATTAGTTCAATTCAGACTCTATTTCAAGTGCAACAAAAATGAGTCACTAAGTTGATGGCGCAACGTTCTATGTCGATCAGCATTGGCTCATTTTTGTTGCACTTCAAATTGAGTCTGATTCAACTCATTAGGTTTGAGAGAGAGAAGGAGAAAACAAATAAGAGGATGCATGCGACAATGGGAAAGACGAAGTCGAGTCAATAATGGAAGAGGAGGTAATAAGAAGCGATGTCTAAGTGCAACGCTGTGAAGAGTCTTTCCAAGAAGGAAACGACATTTACAAATAACGACAACTTCCGGTCTTAGCATACACATACTTATATATATTTATATTTATATTCAAGCCTGAAATTCAATTCAAAAACAAATTAGCGTACAAGTTCGCCTTTGTGAGTGACAAAAGTACTATTTCATAAAACCAAGAGATAAAAATTTATAAACGCCTATTTAGTTATACTATCGATGTTTACGGTCTAAATTTACACTCAAATACGCCATGATATTTGAATAATACACACTGAAAAAAATATAAAGACAATAAGTCGATTTTATTTAGATGTAATTTGTATAGCATATTTCGATATCTGCGATAATATCAATTCTATATATTGCGTAAATAATTGGTTTATAATTTATATGTAAGGTTCTCAACATATATTGTATTTATGACTAAATTCTTAAACAAAATATTACCTTGACAAAATTGTTGTATTGATGTTCAATCAGTGTTGAATTTTTGATAAATATATGTTTCCGAAGCATTCCAAAATTTGTTTGCGATCCAATTAGGTTTCATTTAAATCTAAATTTTAATATACTTATCTTACTCAGTTATTTGAATTAAGCTATTTTAATATAATTTTGAGATGTTTTTAGTTTTATTTGTATTTTGGTCCTGAACTATTACTTGAGGTTATGTTTTCAGATTTATTCGTATTTTAACCATCAGCCGCCTCCTCTTCGTCATTCCTCCTCCTCCTGTGACGGCCAAATTTTTTTGTAATACACAGAAACACTCATTTTGAGGTTGAGGATTTGAGGTTTTTTCTATGTATATAGATTGCAGTAAGTGTGATACTTGAAACAGATTTGGCTAAGATTGTTGACATTATTTTTCGGGTTATGTTCGCCTGTTGCCCTATGATCTTTGCCTAAATTGAGGAGTAGGAGTAAGAAGGATGGTAGAATAGTGTGAATATCTCTTGAGCTATGTATAATTAATTCATTACCTTCAATTTTGTAGTAATGTGTGTTTCTTGACCACTACATTTCACCTAACTTTGAGATTATGTTTTCAGGTTTATAAAATAATATTTAGGCTCTAAATATCTACACCTAACTTTGAGTTAAGGTTTTCAAATTTTAACGTCAAAACCAGCGCGTTCTCTTGTCCCTTACTTTAGAACTATGTTTGAGGTTATGTTCTCAGGTTTGTTAGTACAGCGTTTTCTTGAAATAGCGACGATGGTGGCAAAATCTTTTTGTAATACATGGAGATAAATGTGCGTATGTATGTTTGTGTGCGCTTAGAAAAGGAGAGAATGTCAACAAAGAAAGATATATTTATTTACACTTTTTTTGAAGACTAGCTTTCTCTTCTATTGAGAAATACTAAGCAGATGCCCTTTGTATTTCCGATTTGGTCCCCTTTTTCAGCATCTTAAAGATCAAAGGACTCAAGGATAGGAAATCCTTGTAGTATTCAGATCGCCTGGAGGTATATAGTGTAAGGACTCTATATGTTGTCGGACGGATTTAAAATTTAGTATATAGTATACATGTATAGGTAAAAGATATAAATTTTCAACAGTTTTATAGAAAGAAAACATTATAAAAAAATCTAATTATCAAAGATTAAAATTTTCAAATATATACACATGAATATATGTACATAAGGTTCAAATAAAAAATTCTCTTGGAGGAGCTGATAAAACGCAAAGTAATCGATTAATAAATATAATTCAATTTCAAATGCAAGCTAAAATAGACACAAATGTATAGATGAATACCTTCATAATGATAGCAAATATAAAAGTTTATTGATTCCGCATAAAAATAAAATTTCAGCATTGAATAAAAATGCACAGAGAAAGTCTAACGAGACAGTTTCTTAATAGACAGCCCGTGAATCACATAACTGATAAACGAGCTTATTTTTACTTTTGTCAGACGCGAATGTTGCCCTGGATTTCAGAGATTGCTATAAATTTTAAATGTTTAATTCCAGTTTTCGGAGTAAATCTGGCTGCAGCCAAATTAATAAATCATTTAATTAGTTGATCTTTATATGATTGATTTTGAGATAATTTGATGAATCTCATTCATATTTATATTATTCCAGAAATAAAAATATTCCAAAACTTAGAAGATGATTGTTTTAATTATTACTAATATTAAGCGTAGATTTTATTCGCACTATTGATTCACCATTAATTATTCATTATTTTTTCATATATTTCACCCTCAATAAAAAAGTGTTTTTAGTTTTAAAAAAAAATTATTCAACAATTATTATCATTTTCAGACTACAAATATAATGGATTATTATTATTCTGTTTGAAACTTTCTGTATAATTACATGCCTTTTTGCATTTTGTTAACAATATTATTAAATATTTAATAAAATAATTGTAATAAATTATGAAACATAAATTAAAAATTAAATTGAATGGACAAAGAATAGAAGCAACGGAGACGGCCAAAGGCCGTCGGAGGCGCTAGTATATAAATAAAACATACTATTCTATAAACATATGTAGTCAATAAAATAGAATATAAAGAAAATATTTTTAAAAAGCATTATAAAATTATACAAATATAAATATTATAAAATACTGCCTATATAAGAAATGTCAAAAAAATGTAAATTGATCTTATACTGGCTGCGATGCAACGAAAAAAGTCATGTTTTACCTGCTTAAGATAAAGAAAATTTCATTTTTATCTTCAGTCGGTAAAATAGATTTTACATTGATTTTATGCTTATGATGTTGTACTTGGGATTTCCTCCATTCAAATTTATTTTATTTATTATTCAACAAATTCGAATACGAAAATCTGAATTTGGAAAGAATTATGGGTACATAATTACTTTTTATTCAAGGTAATATTATTTTCATAATAATTTAATTTATTTTAATTATTTTATTATAATTTAATATATTTCATTATTTTAAAAAAGCGTGCGCTATTTTGTCTTGGGCCAATCAGATGATTTCAACTAAATGTAGGTTATGTTCGTTTCTGATTCATGACAGCTGCAAACATTTACAACAAATAAATGCTTTGCAAGTGTATATTTATTGCATTTAAGTAAGTTATGCAAAATATATATGTGGAACAATAATTTAAGGTGATTTTCATAAAATGAATATTGATTTAGATACTGTGGAAAGCAAAGTTCATTTTTTCTTACATTCGATTTTTTCGACCATCGAGATATTTCGATACATTTTCATGTGCTTTGCATGCACTGTCTTTTTCTTTATTACTAAATTTGATTAATTCAGTGACTTTAATTGACATTAAAAGTTTTCTTATTCTCCCTCACCCCCATTAGGAAAAATAATCATATAATTTATTCTACAATTGTTTTAATTACGGTAAAGTCGAGTGGGAGTAAGTCTTCTCTTTTCGCAATCGCGAGACTTCAACTCTTGGGAATGCTTATGAAATAATCGCCTGCGAATCGCCATGTGTAATATGTACGTATGCTGTAACATAAACGTTAGAGACTTGATATCATCAAAAACAAAAAACTTCATTTTATAATCAAAAGGTTTTTTATTGGATGGTAAATGAGAGGCAACATGTCAACTGTTTTAAATTGAATATTTTACACTGAAAAAAATATTTATTTAATTCAAATAATCAGTTACTTGACTATTATCAAATAAATATTTATTTGTATCAAATATGTAATTATTATTTCTAAAGTCATGTCATTTTTTACTTGTCCATATCTTATAAATATAGAATTCTATTTTTGTTGAAAGTTTGGAAATCGTAAAAGTACACAGAAAAAATTAGTATCTGCGTATTTTTATAAGAATTAATAGAAACAAATTTTTCATTTTTTTGCAAAGATGTATTAAGTCGGTAAAGTAGATTTCTGAACATAACCGCAAAAAATTTATATTCTATTAGAAAGAATTTTTTATTTAAATGGAATAAAATTTTAACTTGACACATTGACATAGTTTTAAATCGAGAATTAAAATTTAGAAAATGACTGTAAAAAGAAAGTCTCAAATCTTTAAAAAGAATAACAGATGCAGAATGGAAGGGGATAAGGATACTGAATGAATTGTAATTACTTGCATAATCTAAACTTTTCACCTGACACCCACACACTCACATACAAGACTCATTAATAGAGACACATATAGCATAGAGTTCATGTTTGTGAAATACACATGTTACAACCCTATTACACAAGAGACGATAGAAAAGAAGGGAAAGGAAAAGAGAAAGAATATCTTAAAGAAAGGAGGAAGATGGGAGAAAAGAAGAGAGGGGGGAAAGATGATCCTTGAACCGTTATGTAAGGGGTGTGAACGGGATTTAAGGTAACGTAAACGTCGTAAAAATTACGAATTGCTCCATTCGAATTTGTTCAGGGAAGAGGCGCGAACTTTGCAAATCGGTTATCGACTTGACATTTCGACTGGTAAATACTAATAGGGCGCTTTCCTTTTCTATATATATTGTATATATATATATCTGATTAATGCCTGGATACACCTCATCTATTCCTTCGTTTCTTTCCTTTCTTGAAATTTCTTTACAATAATTATCTTCTATTTTCTCAAAAAAGAAACAATTTTTTTCATTATTAAATAAAATAAAAATAAATATATCCTCTATCAAAAAATTATATATATTATAACATACACAAAGAGGATCAACTCTTAATACAATCTACTGATGTTTATGTATTTAATTAAATTCAAAATATACAATATAAATTGTTTTTTATTTTAGATAATTAAAAATGAATATTTAATCAATTTAAAACTAACACTAAACATAACCTACAATGTTTCACCATTAAAGTCCCATTTCTCTTTTTAGCGTCATACATATATGAAACGGATAACACTTATTCAGTGAAATAAAAAAATACATTCTGTAAAAATTCTATTGTCCGAAATATTAAAGAAAAAATTGTAAAGATCTTCAGCACGGGCAATAAATTCTGAAAAAGATTATTATAGGATATCATACGAAAAGAAGAGAGAGAAAAAATAAATCAATCTCAAAAAAAGAAAGATACAGGTCTTTTCCTGGAAATATGGACAAAAGGAAGTTGAGTTTGCACAAGATGCAAATCGAATTCATAGGTCTTTTTTGTATTGGAGAGTGCCCACTATATGAAGAATGTTCTGCTTACCTATATATATATATATATATATATATATATATATATATATATATGGGAAAAAGTTCTCTTGCGCAACTTTTGTGACACACAATGGTGCGGCACCCCTGGTTCAGAGATTTTTAGTGTTCAAGACTCAAATCATCACAGGCACGTTTTATTCCCTTGCGTTTTCTTTTTTCGTCATATACATTATCATAGGTTTCTTATTCTATACACATTTTATAATAGACTTTTCTGTGGTCTTTTCCCTTTCCTTTTAAAACCGACACACGACCAGGTCAATGGTGCGAAAAGTGGAGCTTTTAAATACTATAAAAAGAAGACACTTCAATTTGAAGTTTTTTCTTTACCTTATTACAACAACAACAACAACAACAACAACATGAGGAAATGAAGATTCTTAAAAATTTGACCTGTTTCCTATACTTAGGCATCGAAACTAATCGATCCTTCGACCATGTAATGGGATAATGGCGATGGTAATGACAACGTCGATAATAATAGTAATAAATGCACTGTAAAAAAAAGGAGTTGAATTTCAACTCCCTAGGGGATGCTATAAAAGTCCCACCCTTTTGGAGTTGAAGCGAAGGGAGTTAATGCTTTTCGAGTTAATTTTATGCCTAAGGAGTTGGTTTCATTATTAACTCCTTTTTTGAGTTGATTTTTAACTTGAAAAATTTAACTCCCAACTCCCAGTAACGTTAACTCCCTAATTTTTTTACAGTGTATATGTTCAATATTAATCTTTATCAATCATGCGCGCTCTCTGCAAAAAGAAGTATTTTATTTTAAGATATTTGGTAGCGTTTTCAAGACATCAAGACATTTTAATCATCTTAATGTCTTAAAAAGTCTACCAAAACATCTTAATATAAGATACTTCTTTTTGCAGTACTCCCAATGTAACTACAATAATCATCTCTGAATTACCCGAGACGAAAAAGGCCTACTTTTCTAGAAGTAAAGTAGAGGTTAACAGACCCTCCTTAGCTGTCTGGAATGTGTGCAAATTTTATTTTTTCCACATTTGGATTCAAAGTAGAGCCTACGGAAGTCTACACGGAAAAAAATTTCTTGTAGCGAAAACACTACAAATTTCAGAAAAGACAATTCTATAAATTGTCATGTAAACTGTAAGAAAATTGTGTTTCAAACACACAAATTGGGAACAGATTTGCGTTAGTACGCACACTCTATGAAATTTGTTTGTTTCCCAAACCTCAGCGTTTTGTTGAATACTCCAACCGAGTTTTATAGATGGCGCTAGAGATCCTGTTGATAAGACCAGAAATTTTTTTCGGTGTAAAAGATCCAAAAGAGGGCTTATTTAGGTTCTACACAGTAAAAACAAAGTCTTAAGCCGTTTACACCTTAAATTAAGCCCATATATTTTGCATAAGTCTGTCCTTTTTTAATTGGTCTGACTCCGTTTACACCTTAAATTCAGCCTCAAAAATAGGCTGAAATCAAGATTTCTTTTTTAGTGTGTAGGTGGAGCTAAAGAGGATTCAAATTTCAACTCGGGTATTACCTATAGGTAATACCCCAATAAATTTGAATTTGCCTGTATGTGTTTGTTATAATTACACCTTTTTTAGTGCAAGATTACTTTCTTTTATTTACTTCAGAAAGTATGCAAAATAGCAAAAATGCTATGTGTGTTATTTATGTTATTATTTTATTTTATTTTAAATAATAAGAAGAAGAATTAATAAAATAAATAAGATAAAAATAGTAGAATAAAAAAATATTTTAACTTAAATTATATAATATTTTTAAAAAGCAGGGAAAAAAGTGACATAACGGCACTGTATTCCCGTCGCAGTTCATCCAAAAAAAGTGGCAAAGAATCATCAAATTCCTTGAGGCGCTGCTCGTTATGAAATACGTGTTTGCTTACAATGGAGACTCTCTATTCTGACTCAAGTTAAAAAGCGGACATATCCCCCGTCTCTCTCTCTCTCTCTCTCTCTCTCTCTCTCTCTCTCTCTCTCTCACACACACACACACACACACACTCCAAGTTATATATTTCGGGTCTTTTCTGCCCCTTGATGTTTTTTTATCTCTTCTTTTTACTTTTTCCAAGATTCAATAGTCTCGCGGAAACGGGGTCTTACACTGCTCATACATATATACGGGGAATGCATCAGTGGCGCGGATCCGATTTAAAAAGTGAAAAGATACCTGTAACGGTCGTAGGAGGAGTCGTGGGAAAGCATCTAGAGAAGATTTCGTTGGGTTTGGACCGAACACGGGTTTGGCTCATTGTCTGACACACGACCGAGGGTTGCCCTCCACACACGATTCGATCCCTAAGGCTAATATAAAGGCTGTCGAGAGAGTGAATTCCACCCTTAAATATATAACGAACTAAGCGGAAGAGAAACAGTTCCTCGCAAGACACATATATGTACATAAAGACACTCACTCGTCGGCCCACAAAATGACACACATGCGAGGGATTATTTTATGACAGTTTGATATATTGTTAAAAAAATCTTTATATAGCGCTCCATATAATTCGAAACTTTAATAATAATTCCCCATTTAATGTGATCGCACGTTACACTTTTGATTAAAATGCAATGCACCTGATTAATATATATATTTATTACAAGAAAAATTATGGAATCAATGATAAAATTTTAGAAGAATTAAAATATAACGTCAAAATTTAGGCCGAAAGGAGAAAGTAACCTAAAAATTCAGGATAAATAAAGAGGTAAATATTTAAGAACCTAAAAATTCAGGATAGGTCAATAATTTGGTTTGAAATAATTCTTAATGTATTATTTTAAAGAAATAAATATTAAAATTCTGTACATCAAACATACATCTGTATCGCGAAATAGTACTCTCTAAATCTTAATTAATAGTTTTCTACTAATGAAAGAGTACGGATTCTTTTACCAATTGAATTAGTAACAGTTTTGACTATGGTAGAAAACTATACTAATTCAGATTTAGAGAGTATGAACGACCATGTTAAATCATGTTAAATCTCACTAAAGTATACCAAAAAGTATAAAATATTATTATTTATTTATTGTGATTTAAGAGTTTAATTTTTATCAGTGAAATATGGATTTTAATATACCAAAATCCTAAAAGAAAAAGGAATTAAAAATGATTGAAAGACTTCACATTTTATAGTGGATGTAAAGATTCTGTGAAAAATCATCAACAGAAGAAACTCACCGTCATTACGTATGATGATTAAAGTGAAAAGAAAATATATTAAAGGTGATGATCAGGTGACCTGAATCGTTGTCGACTTTTACAAAAGAACAAGTCACGGCAGTTGGGATTAGAAAGAAGGAACTCTGCCACCCCTGCTCTCTATATATACATATAAAAATTGAATATGTGTGTATGTGTATAATAAGTATACACCCCAAAAGATTCGTAGAAAAATCATCACAACCATCTTTCAAAAACCTGCTTCGAATGATTGGGGTGCCTGAGAATATTATATATACACACATTCACATATATATATATATATATATATATATATATATATATATATATATTTTTGGGCCACGTGAGTCAAGTGTGACACGTGAAAAGGGGAGATACGAAAAAACATAATCTCTCTATCTCGATGCCCGCAGGTGCTTCCAATCACTGATTTAAAAACTGATTTTATTCACGTCATACACATTTCGTATCTTTTTTGCTCTAAAATAAAAAAGAAAATAAAAGACATAATAATTTTTCAATAATATTTATACTCAGATGCGGAAAATAGAAAAAGGTTAAAGGTCTAATATGATTAGAAGACTTTTTTAAAATATATAAGACTTGTCGAAAATGAAAACGAGTTCGTCGAATTTTGATGAATCAGGTCCGAATAATCCCTAATTCTAGGAGCAACCCGATCCCTCCGTATCTATGCACACGTGCATTCTGAAGGAATTTCGAATTGAATAAGGCACATCATCTAAAGAAGAACAAGAACCAGATTGATCCCGGGGTGCTCCGACAACGCACGTGGTGAATCCTTCAATGAAGAGAATATATATTTTGGCTCCCTCTTTTTTGCCTGTGGCATTTGCATAATGTTTCCTATGCTGACAAAATGGCGAGAATGGAATATTACCCAACCTAATCCCCCCACACCCACCCCTTCTTTATAACCCCTCCGCATTTACCCCTAAAACGAGAGCAATGCTTTCGATGGTTAGGGGAGTAAAGATAGGGGGAGGGGAAGCAACGACTACTCTCTCTTATCCCTAATGTTTTGCGGCAGAACGAACGTCCGAGAACGCGTGGCCTGTATTATAAACGTCCTCGGAACAAAGGACTCTTCGCTTTTCAAACTCATACATATAGTTCTTCCCTGCTGTGCAATATCGCGCGCCCACCAAAACTACCGTGTAATTGGATCTTTAATCCGTTCCACTATTTCTATATACTCTCATTTTTCCCACAATCAAGTCTAATAAGATTCTTCTTCTGTTATTTATTTTTTGTACAAAAAACTGTTTTTTATTTGAGAAACGCTATTTAATTATATCACAAATTGAATAATCGGCTTTTCGTGTGGGTTTTGTAATACCTACATGTTTTTTAATTTAATGAATCCAATGATTCCTTTCAATCTTTTAAACGAATGTATAAGAATAGTTTTGATCGGATTTATTATATTATTGTATGTTTGTGATGCTGAAACTTAGAAGAAAACAATGAACCTACAATGTTTTTTAATCCCTTCACTGTGATTGATCGCTATAGACGCATAAAAATGTCGTGCCACCAATGTGTATGAGCTCTATAGTAGCATTTGAAAAAAATAATGGGGGTATTCTTCGTATTTCGAGGTCTATGATTTAACCCCTTCACTGTTATTGACCTCTATAGAGGCATAAAAATGTCTTGCCACCAGTGTGCATGACCGCTATAGAGGCATCTCAAAAAAAATAAGTAGACACAAAATATGATAAATTATCGATAGTTTACTTCATTATTTTAATAATCATTTACTTCATTATTTTAACAATACAATAAACTTGTCAATGGGTATTCTTAGATTTTCGGGTTTTTTTTAATATCAATTTAAAAAAAAAAATTTTTTTCCCACATACGGGGCACTGAAGCTTTATTTTTGCTTTTGCTACACTGCGAAGGGGTTAAAAGTTTTTCTTTTAAAAAAAATTTTTTTTGCACACTAGTGGCACGAAATAAGCTTTATTTCTGTTACACAGTGAAGGTGTTAATCAATATACATAGTTTTAATTGTGAGGATACGAAATATAATTTAAAAAAAAAATTCCAGGATCAACCAAACAGGATACAAAAATCTTATTTTGTCGGAAGGACTTAGAAATCTTCATCGACATTTTTTTAGCATTCCTTGCATACGTGTTTAACCCCCCCCCCTCTCTCTCTCAGATTTAACCTTGTATGTATCAGTAGCCTGCCCTAGCTGGTCGTTTTGTGGTCGTTTACATTCCTCTTTTTCTTCTCTCTCTTGAACACTCCCGATTGAGAATTCGACGAAGAGACCCAAGAAGGAAGGAAGAGCCTGTGTGAGACCTCAAGTTTGGTTGTATCCTAATGATGCTACGGGTTCAGTCGAGTTATGCGATACCCATCGTCCCGCTAAAAAAAGAAAACCCCTCGCCCATCTCTCGACCAATAACCTTAAGGTACCCATTTCTCATCCACGAAAATTTATTCATGGTGTTGAATGAAGCCTCACTTCCATTTCAATCGATTTTTCGAATATAAACCATTTGTTTCTCATTTTACCTTCTCTTTCTATCAACAACAAACTATCTCTAATTTCAAAATTAGATTATATTATGAATTTATTTTCAAAGTTATAAAATTCTCTTTTCATAAAGTTTTTAACAAAAGAAAAAAAAATATATATATATATATATATATATATTCACCAGCTGTGGATAAGTTGATTTTAAGAAAAAAAATTCGTAAATTTATTTGTATTCCAATTTTAATGTCTTTATATGTATGTCATAGAAAAAGAGAAATGGAAGTAAATTTTAGAAATGTGAAAACATGTTATCACTGAGGAAAATGTTTAGTATCATCTACCAAAGTTTGGTTCTCTCTACCAAATTTTTTATTTAATATAGATGCAACTAAGCCGTTTGGTTGTCAGAACTAAATTTGTTTGATGGATCGGTTTGATCGGTCTACCAAATTTTTTGTTTCGCACAACTAAATTATTGTTTTTAAGCTTGAAAAAAACTTTCGTTCTTTTAACAAGTTTTATGTATTTATTCTCACTACACAAACTGTTTTTTAAAAAAATGTCTGAAAAACTTTAATACTGCAACTTCACCACGCGAACGACGTAGGGTTAATGTTGACATCCCGTAAATGGGAAGCGACGCCATATTTACGAGAACAGCGCGTGCGCGCAATTCAGCATGCCAGCAATTTAGTACTGAGAACCAAACTATTCGTAAATATGAAAGCTTCAAATATATTTTTTGGTAGAGCCAACTAAACTTCCCGATTTATTGACACTTTATATTCTGTTGTGACAACCGTATTTTAGTAACGCCAACTAAAAATTTTCAACTAAATTATTTTCTTATTATTGCGAAATTATTTTTCTCAGTGTAGGGGAAATTAAGGAATAATGAAACAAAAGAAATTGAAAGCTATAAAAACGAGGAGTATAGCAAAAATAAAAAGAAATTAAATTTTAATAATAAGAGTCACAGTTGGGTGTAGCTTCCTAGCCGTAAAAAATTAACAGGTCTTTTTGGTGTATATACTCACGAACTTATATACAGAAGGGACGTCCTGCCGCGAGGATAACTGCGAACGAGACCGCCTTTTTTCTTCTTTCGTGTTCCCTTCTGTTTGTCTATAATCACCGGGGTCGGCCACAAGCTATATTTCACAGTGCTTACCTGAAGAAGAAAAAGAAGACAAAAGGATATGTTTATAATGAGAGTTATTATTCATAAGATGAAATGTAAATACTTTTTTATAAAATTTTCTTAATATACTATTTTTATTGTAATAAGGGACTGTTTCTAATAAGACATTTTTCCGGTAAATGAAAACACTTAAATTAATTATTTCACTGAAACAATTTTTTTGAGTACTTAATGTAAAATCCCCACAAGAAATATTTTTCCAGTAATCAATTATTCTCGGTTTGGGTGTAAAAATTGCTTCTAGAGAGCTTCCAGTATAAAAAAAGATGAGCACAAGAGTTTCTGGGATGATTTTGAGATCACCGACTGACCTTGTATAAAAAGGCTTTTGCCCCGTAAACTCACACACACACACACACACACACTCTGTAAAGTTGTTAGCTGGAATCAAATTGCAAAAAAAGGTTGAATCACTCCAAGGTGGAGACGGAATGTTGTAAATATCTCGTCTCTCGAATCTTCTTCTCTTTCCATTCAAGGAGGATGAGGTCCCATCTTGCATTTGCTGTCATTCCGTTAGTTCGTCGGGCAACCAGGATTCGACACGCCTCGAGGTTCACTCAAGACACACGCGGAATAAGATGAACAACGGCAACAGGTAAATGGTCGTCATCGTCGTTGTCTTGAGTCGTTTCTTCTAACAGAAAAAGTGGTTCCCATGGCGATTATAGTTCACGTCTCTGATGTGTTAGAATCAACTTGTACATCCCCCCTCTTACCTTTTACACACACACAAAATATATACAGGGTGATCAAAATGTACCGGACCCAAGAATTTTTTTTCTAATTCCCACTTTTTTATATATAAAAACCAAAAAAGTGACCGAATTAAATATCAATATTTTCTTGATCGAAAAATTTTTTATTAGTTTGAAGTAAATTTTCTTGGATCAAGAAATTGAATACGGTCAAGTATATAGGTTTTCTTGATTCAATGTCAAGGAAAAAATTTTTACCTTATTTTTTATATAACTTTACCAAATTAGAAAATGGGAAAATTTCATTAACGCTAAGTCTATACGACCGTCTAGCCGGATAAAATAATTTTGTCCGTCTATATGGAATTATATTGAATATTTTAAGGAAACCTGGAAGGGGGAGGGGGTCGGAAATGGCCGAAAGTATTCTACGGAAAAAGTCGGGTGGCTATAGACGGACGTTTAGACGTTTTTTGATGTCCGTCTAGACACTTTGTTTAATTAAATGTACTTTCGAAATTTAAATTAGTAGTTTTCTACTAATGAAAGAGTACGGATTCGTTTACCAATTGAATTAGTAACAGTTTTGACTCTTTTTTAGTAGAAAACGCTACTGGTTGGTAGTAGAAAACTACTAATTCATGGAGTAAAACGTATTTTTTGCTATTTTAAATTAGTAAGCCGATTTACTCCATGAATTAGTAGTTTTCTACTATATATAATATATTCTACTAAACAGGATTAGTCCAGATTCTACTAAACAGCTTAGTCAAAGGGACTACTATAGTTCTATCACACAAAATAATTTACCGACAGAATAAAAATGCACAAATCTGATTGGTTGTCCACAATTAACCAGATTGCGGACAACCAATCAGATTTCTACATTACGTTTCTGTCGGTAAATTTTTTTCTATCAATAATCGTGTAAATTTTTTTACTAAACAGTATCGTTCATTTAACTGACTATTTAGTCCGTCCAAAATGAACGATACTGTCTAGTTGATTTAAGGGGACTTTCTGGTTTAGAATTTCAAAAAAATCGATTTTTTTTTTGCTTAAAAATGTTCCATAGTATCATAGAATTACTGTCCCAAAACGTTTTTTAAAAAATATGTACAAAAACAAAAGTTATAACAATATTTATGACGGTATGTATTTCAACAACAATCTACAGTTATCTTATTTACATATTTGGTGTTCCTCTTTTATTGATATTAGCTTGAAACATGTTACTCGAGGGTTTTTGGGGTCGCTGATTACGAATTTGATGTCAGTTTTTGAAAATACAAAATGGCGGATCCAATATGGCGGACGAAAAATAAAAATTCAACCGGATTTGCTTAAAACTTGTTACTCGGGGGTTTTTGGGGTCGCTGATTACGAATTTGATGTCAGTTTTTGAAAATACAAAATGGCGGATCTAATATGGCGGACGAAAAAATAAAAATTCAAGCGGATTTGCTTAAAACTTGTTACTCGGGGGTTTTTGGGGTAGCTGATTACGAATTTGATGTCAGTTTTTGAAAATACAAAATGGCGGATCTAATATGGCGGACAAAGATTAAGAAATTAATTAAATTTAGTTGAAAATGGTTACTTGTGGCCTTTTGAGATTGCTAGTTATGAATATAGGCACAAAACATTAACGTTCTAGGAACGTTTTAATTAATTAAAAAAGTTAATTTTTTATTTTGTAATCCGCCATATTGGACCCGACATTTTGAATTTTCAAAAACTGACATCAAATTCGTAATCAGCGACCCCAAAAACCCCCGAGTAGCAAGTTTTAAGCAAATCCGGTTGAATTTTTATTTTTTCGTCCGCCATATTGGATCCGCCATTTTGAATTTTCCAAAACGGACATCAAATTTGTAATCAGCGACCCTAAAAACAGCGGGATACGAAGTTCTGTTGTAATAAAAAGTTGTTTGATATTCATGACTCAATGAACTATGTTATGAAAACTTTGAACGCGTTTTTCTCGAAAACTCATTTTTCAAACTGGTACAGAGCTTTTCTCGAAATCTACCGAACCGATTTTGAAATCCCAAAAATTTTTCGATTCTTTATTTAAAAAACTGGGGCCTAAACCTCTAAAAACTCATATTTCTACCCCCTGTGTTTTTATATGGAGGTAAATTGACCCAAAAACACGGCGTTTTTGCGAGTTTTTGAGAAAAATGTACATAAAAAATAAAAAAACCTTTAAAAAAAATCGTTTTTGAGGTTTAGGCCCCAGAATAAATCCTTATGAAGAGATTCCCGTTTGGAACTTGAATTTATGTATTACAGGTTGCCCGGAAACTAACGTACCAAAAAAAAGGTATCTTTTGGAAGACGCCACCTACAGCTATGAAATTGAACTAAATACACTCAAACATATTTTTTAAATTTTCTCTACGCAATGTGCTACAATGTCCAAAAATAGTTTTTACAATTTCTTTAATACTGTTCTTACAATAAAAGTTTTAAAACCTTCCTTTTTTGTTAATTCTAAACCAGAAAGTCCCCTTAACTGAGATATAGTAGTAAGATCTACTTCGCCCTTCTCTCCGTGTATACTTTCTTTTACAGTATATAATAAGAATTTTATTTTCTAAAAAACTATAAGTTACCTAAGAACTTTTTCTTTCCGAATTAAATTTCTTCTTAATTTGTATATATAATTTAACGAGAAAACAGTTTTTTGAGAGTTTTGAATTAATCTTTTGAATTTGGGGCATAATATTTTTTGAGTGTCTCCCTAAATATATATATATATATATATATATATATATATATATATATATATATATATATATATATATGAAACTATGTATAGAAAAGAAAAGATAGTCATTTTTTCTTTTTGTAGAATCGACACTGTTAATGACCATTAAGAATTTCCTGAACCCTGTTATTTGGTCGACAACATCTTCCCTCTAAAAATTGTACTTGAGAACCATAGAAAAATCATTGTTCATATATATATATATATATAAATAACTGACGAATGGTTCCTTCAGGTATAAAAAGAAAAAAAGTCAAAGAATGACTGATGACGCGGCAGATTGTGAAAAGTGTGTGTCTGTGTGTGACATTGAACGGGAGTAAAAAAGTCTTGAGGACGGTTTTTTTGGGCCGTACAACCATGGAGTCACGACTTGCGAAGATTAATGAAGAGGAGGGGGTGAATGAAGAGGATGACGTTGATAATGATGACAAAGTGCCCAGGTTCACAAGGTCTCACAAAATTATAAGAATTGATTTCGTTAATTTTTTCCATCCAAATATCTCGTTTATCGTTTTCTCACTTTTTTTCACATATAAATTTAAAGATTTTTTAAAAATTAAAAATTGAACACATTGACCTCTCACAATGAAATTAATCTTTTGTATTCTAGTTAAACAATTTTAAATAACTCTATTTACAATTGATTCAAGAAAGTATTTAACTTTTCAATTCGCCATTGCTATAAAATAAAAAAAATTATTTCATTTGAGATCATAATGCAAAATGATGAGAATGAATATCGATTATATAATATTCAAAATTAAATAAGGACAGAACAGAATGTTACGTCAGGTCTGATATCGCGATATATAATAAAAATTAATTCATTATTTTAAGAGTTATTTTGAAACATCTTAAAAGTGACTACAAATTTATCTTATAATAAGATGCATTGTAGCCCAGGAAGACTATTGTCTTCTTGTCGATAAGAGAATTGACCTCGTTTTCACGTTTACACCTACAGCAATAAGAGCACCATGCCCGTACAAAAGGGCATTATTGTCCCGTTGAATCGTCGTGAATGGAATCATTTTTTGCTTGGTAAGAATGCTGATGGCTTGCCTCCTCTAATTCGCTGAAGCAGGGTGCTCCTCTAAACCCTCCCCCTCTTCTTCTTTCTGCTCTTTTTCTCTTCATTCGGGGTCCCGTATTTTGCGACTCAATTCAAAAGCACACTGTTCGTCTTTTCGGGAATGAAAAAACGGAAGAACCGTAGGCGGCTACTTTTCATCACCAAATATTTTTTTGTCCTTATAATCGTTTCGTGGAAGTATTGAAATTCCTTTGATATATATATATATGTATATGGGCGATTCCACGTGAGATTTACCTCTGACCTTTTAAATTCGTCTAAATAAATTTTTCCTTATTCTTTGTAGAAAAAAAAGGTTTACGTATTTTTTTCGAGTTATGAATTTTTAAAAATCTGATTTTTTCAAGTTTTTTTGAAATACACCTAATTTCAATGACATGTAACTCTAAAAGTATTGAATTTA